CGCCGGGCTGCACTCCGCGGCCGGCCGAAAGGCAGGTGAAGCCCACGGGATCGTCCGGCCCTTCGGGGGCGTACTGCAGACCGGACAGGGACCCAGACCCCCCCGGGGCTCCGGGGTCAGCCTGGCTCCTTCCTCCCGTCTCACATTTCCTTCCTGTCTCATCCGCAAAGGCCTGAGCCGAAGGCTTGGTCCCACTGCCAGCTGGTGGGGGCTCGATTGGAGCAGGCTGGGGCAGGGAGAAGGCCAAGGACAAGCCAGGGCTGCTGCCCACAGCTGGCTTGCACCTGACAGGTGCCCGAGCAGGCTGCCGCTAGGAAACACTCGCAATCATTTTCCTTCCTAGGGCTCCCCGTCCGGCACCTGGGGTGGGAGGGATGCAGCTACTGGGGGGTGGGGAGGCGGTTCCCTGCGTGCTATTACGGCCGCACGGCTTAGCACCAGACCCTGCGAGCAGCACAATCCTTAAAAAAGGGGCTTGGTGCAGCAAAACGTGACAACGATCATGCCACAGCCCCGCCATGCTGACCCGGACGTCTCTGTTTCCTCGTACTCCCCGTCCGTCTCCATCCCGTTGTCTCTTGTCTTACACTTAGACTGTCAACTTTCCGCTGAGTTTGTACAGCACCTAGCACGTCGGGGCCCGGATTTCAGCGAGGCCCACGAGGTGCTGCTGGGACATCATCCCTGACCCATGGGGCCCTGCAAATATGCTGCTCTCTCAGGTGTCCACATCCACGGACATCAAGGCAGGTTCCCGCGGCTCTTTTTCGCTGATACGGATGCAGGTTTGTCTCCGTGCAGGACTCTACTGACTGATCCTATTCCAGATGATGCTGAGTACACTCGTCACGGCGGGCCTCCGGCTCTGAGCTCGGGGCCGAAAACAATAATCAGACGGAGCCTTTCCCAAAGTCCCGGCTCCCACCAGCTCCACTTTCGCACCTTGCTTGAGTGATCTAACCTCTCAGCCTAACGCCACAGGCAAACGCCAGCCGGTAATTTACCAGGGTGGGCGTGGGGGAAAATGCCAGAGAGGTGCTAAATAAATGCAGAGGCGAGTGGGACAGCAGGGCCCTTTGTGAAAACATTCCTTAGCAATAGCGCTATCTCCCCTGGCCTCTGCACCGGGGCCTGTCATCAGGGGCTCAGGAAACACGTCACAGACACTGGGCCAGAAACCGAGCAGGCGTCAAGCAGCCCAGATGCACTGTTACACCAGCAGAGGCGCTGGCCCATTCATTCTCTCTTGTACGTGTGGGAGTTGAGGCACAGGGCAAGGCCTACACAGGGAGATTTCCCAGCATTGGTTTGATAAAAGACTCTTCAGCCTCACGGACAAAGCCAGCGAGGACCAGGGGTCGGGCGGAGAAGCGACACATGTTCAGACTAGAAAGAAGCCTGCGTGTTTACCAGCGAGGGTTATTAGCGAGCGGAACAATGCATCCAGGGTGGCGGTGGATTCTCGGTCGCTGGCCATTTCCATATCAATACCTGTTCTTCTAAAAGATACGGCATCACTGAAATTCATTCGGGAAGTCCTCAGGCCCGTATTAAAGAGGAGGTCAGATGACATGCTCACAAGGGACTCTTCTGGCTTTCCAAGGTATGTCAGTAGAGTTACTGCGATCGGACACTCCCGTTCATGGACAGTGGGCGAAGGTAGAGCGGGGGGGAGGGGAGGCAAATCCCAAGCCCCGCCCCTTCTGCCCAGGCCCCGCCCCTTCTGCCCAGGCCCCGCCCCCACGGGAACTAAGCCACGCCCGACCCCATGAGGAGGTGGAGCAGCATGTCCCTGGAGCACAAGCAGGGCAGGCATGGGGGCAGCAACAGTAGCCCCCAGTACACCTCCCGCAGGGGTTGTGGGCGGGGCCAGTATGGGAGGCGGGGGGAGGCATTGCCTTCCCAAACCACCAGCCTGGCCTCATAAATCCCGTCATTTTTAGCCACTGGGAAAATGTAACTCGACCAAATACAAACGCTGCCAGGCCTAGATCTGGCGAGGGCATTAGGGCAGAAGAGCCATTAACTCTGAACCACCGTGTTGGGCAGAGATGCTCGGAGCAGGACACAGGTAGCAGGTGCCCCCTCTACACCAGCACTCCCACTACAGGCTGAACCTCCCAAATCTGGGACATGCTGGTCCGGCAACATCCGTGGTCCGGCAGGTCCAGATGTTGCTGGACCCAAGAGCCCCAGAGGCGGGAGCGGGAGCCAGCTGGGAGAACGCAGGGGCTGTGGGTGGCAGGGGTCCCCGGCCAGGGAACCCTGGGGAATCCCTGGTGGCAGCAGGGTCAGGGTGGCAGGGAGCCCCTGC